AAAAACGATCTACGTTTTTGATTGATCGAAAAAGCGAATTTTGATCGCAAATGTTATTGGTCGAAATGTTTGTACAAATGGCCTATTTTGACTCTCACAATTGATTTCGATCCTCATAATGTATTTCGACCCTCGTAATTGATTTTGACCCTTGTAATTAATTTCGACTTTTCAAATTAGTGCTAAATGGTTCGCTCAACTGGAATCAAAGCTCTTAGTCAACTCTACAACTAAATTAATGAATCGTAGTTGTTCTTCACATGCATCTTATCAAAATACCAATCCAACCTAATGACAAGTCTTTTTAGATTTGCAGGAGGAATATACACCAATTTATATTTTACCTCTATTGTTTAAGTGGGTTACTATTTTAGTATTGAAAAGGTTATAGGTAATGTATACTCTTCTGTTGTATCATAATCAATCCAATTTGTTGTTTGGTTCATCATTAGTATTGAGCAGTATGCGTATGGTATGGGGGGATGATTGTATAGAATCGTTTCTTGAATTCATTTAATAATACGTAACACTTTTTGAATTCTAAAAAATATCATTTATATGCATGCAATAATTAACAAATTTTGTTTTATATGCAATATTAACGAATGTTAAGTTTTCTATTAATTGAATTTACAGCCAGATAATACTTTGCATTTATCCGTTCTGAAATTTAATACTTTACTGGTACAAACCTACTAAGAATGTTATGCACCAGAATAATGCAATCACGTCCTTCAGGGTAAAATTCTGTGTCCCATTACAAACTTCGTCTTTATCAATACTGAAATGGTATTGATTATATAGTACATGATTATACCACCGGGTGAATGCAAAATTATGTATAGAAAATTTTGATAAACTATATTTGGGAAAATTATAAATGATTTACTGCTCATAAGATTTGTAATAAATGCAGCATTTGAGGTGAAATTCGATATACCGGTTCCGGTATATCGAATTTCACAGTGTATTATCATTTACGAATTTTAATAATATTTTCGTGGCAAAAAAAATGCTAACAGAGACAAAAATTAGAATAATATAATTTATCGTGTTAATACTACTTTAACGAGTAGATGTCTGTTACAAAGTTTAATTTAGCATGACCATCTTTTTTCATTTTAGTTTTCCTTCATCTTTGTCAAAAATAGCCCATAATAAAAATTCTTTAATAACTATCCAATAACCGAGCTGAGAAATTGTATTACCATGATTACCAAAAGGAAATTCTTTCCATTCTTTGCCAGCCGAAGTGTTTGTCAATTCATATAATTCTTTCATTTGTTGTTGTGGTACTAAAGCATCTAATTTACCAGATAAAAATAATATCGGAATTTTTTTAATTGTTCCAATTTGTTCATCTGATGACCATATTTGTGTACATATAAATGTTAAATACTTTAAAGGAGAAAATAATGTTGATAATAATTTTGGCTGTCAAAAAAAAAAAAAAATTTTTTTTTAGTTATTCGAACTTTCAATTTTATTTAAGAGAAGAGTAACTCACAATACTTAGAAACGTATTTTCTAAAATTAGTGCATTTATCTAAAAATTTTAAAGATAAAAGAGTTTCTTTTAATAAAAAATTAATAAATAAAACGATTCATAATTAAATTTACCTCGTCTTCATTCCTTGCGGCCAGATCAATAGCGACAGCGCCTCCTAATGATCTTCCATATAATATTAATTTTGTTCCATAAAGAATTGGATGTCTTCTAATATATTCCAATGCGGTCTTGAAATTTACGAGATATTAAAATAATAAGGGTGAGATATAAATGGATTACGGAAATTTGGTAATGAGGATAATATAATATTAATATTTCTTTACCTGTGCATCTATTTTTATTCCTTCTTCCGATGGAATTCCTTCACTATGTCCATATCTGGAAATTCCTAATAAGTTTTATTTAATACAATGAAAAAATTTTTAAAGAAAAAAATCATCCATTTACCCTCTATAAGAAAGTAACACTACGTTAAATTTAAAATTATGATAAAATTTATGCACAATCGCTGAACGTTGTCCCTATTATAAAGGTAAAAGTTGAGCTTTTGCTTGAATGTTTTTAACAAATTTGTATGATTAGTATATACTCACTATGCTTCCACGATTTCCCTGCAAAAAAAAAAAAAATAAAATCAAAAATCAAAAATCAAAAATCAAAATATTTTTTTTTTTACAAAAAGGAAAGATTATAAAGTTACATGTAAGGCTAAGACGGTGGGTCGTTTACACGCTTCATCATCATTTGGTCTTTTATATACGTATGCACGAATTCTGACTTTATCTTTTGTAGTTAATATCACTTCAGTATAAAGAATTCCATCATTAGAAAATATCGGAATATCCTACATAATTATCAATACTTTTTAAAGTAAAATATTATAAAATAAATTTTAAAGAATAAGAACTTACGAATTCGCAGGATTTCTTTCGATATTTTGCTGGATATAATAATTCATTTTGATAAAAGTATAATAACGTTCCAGCGCCTATCGTTATTGTCATTCCTGTTAATATACTTTCCAATATAACCATCCTTAAATATTTTTTTTCGAAAGGGAGGAAATGATTTTTTTAATAAAAAAATTTATTGTTATAAAAGTACACAAAAGCACCCCTTTTCTGTATTAAATTAATTAATTGATACAGATCACCTGATCTGTAACTATGGTGAGATATAAATACTTCATATAATTTTAATATATAGCGACACATTTTTTCTTATATTAGCATTATTTAAAATACCATTATAAAAAATTTGTAGAATCCTAAAATTTATAAATTAAGAAATGATATATATATATATTATAACAATATATTCGTCGATCTTTTGGGAATTAAGATTTATAATGAGAATAATTTACCTAAACCTATAGGGTAATCTTTTTAACTTATTATACCCATTCTCTTTTGGTTTTTAATTCATAATTACAAAAAACGGTACGATATCTTATATTAATATATCAAAATAAGACTAACCCGGGATACTAAAAAAAATTAAAAATTCGGTAAAAACATATCGAAATTTCAATATGAATATAACGCAAACACGACCTTATTTCAAATATGTCTGCGTGGGTTACAGTTACACGATAATGATACGGATTGAAAACCTTTCTCATTACACGAGACCGGTGTCCATTGAAAATTCTAAAAGTTTTATGATTTGAAATAGGATGTTTATTTAGCGGAATGCTCGTTATACATGTCTCAATGTGAAAT